GTTCGCCCACTGGCTCGCCCAGCAGGCTCAAGTCTCCCTCCATGGCGGTGCCTTCTCCCGGCTGGGTTGCCTCGCCCAAGACAGCCATGCCCAGCCCTGGGGTCCCCCAGAACAAGCAGCCGCCTCTCAACATGAATTCTTCCACCACCCTGGGCAACATGGAACAGGGTAAGTCTGCCCACCCAAGCAAGGGAGCACTGGACTCTGGCACTGGGCACCTCCCGGGGCGGGGGAGGGGATGGCTCTGCTTAGGGGGCAGACGTCACCAGCTGGGCGTGAGCTTCCGCAAGGGAGCGCCCGTGTTGATCTCCTGGGTGTTTTGGCGAGTTCCTACGTGGGCTCTCCCCACTGTCTGGGCCTCTGAGGCTGCAGGAATTGCTTGACGACGACGGGTGGGCTGTAGCGGGGATCCCCGTTAAGGTGTTGAGCAGAGCATCAGAACGGAAGTGTGCTTGGAGGAGTCAGGGAATTTGGGAGCTGGCCTTTCCTCACCCACAATGGGAGCAGCCGAATTTGTCTTGCCCTCCCAAGTCACTCCCGTTCTTTCTGTCTCCCCACTTCTGTAGGTGCCCTCCCGCCTAGCGGCCCCCGGAGCGGCTCCTCAGCGCCTCCCGCCAACCCTCCCAGTGGCCTCATGAACCCCAGCCTGCCATTCACTTCCTCCCCAGACCCCACGCCTTCCCAGAACCCCCTGTCACTGATGATGTCCCAGATGTCCAAGTACGCCATGCCCAGCTCCACCCCGCTCTACCACAACGCCATCAAGACGATTGCCACCTCTGACGATGAGCTGCTGCCCGACCGACCCCTGCTCCCCCCTCCACCACCGCCGCAGGGCTCTGGGCCAGGTGCGGGGCGGGAAAGGGGCCACAGGGAGAAGGGCCGGAGTGGGCACCGGGCATGGGAGGAGATGCCGTGGCCAGCAGTCGCCCCTGTGGTTGTGCGGGCTATCATGTGCTTCTAGTGGGCCCTGGGAACGGGGGTGTGGTGTCCCGGGTCAGGTTCCCACTCGTCGTCATGTGGCAAAGCCACGCCCAGAGCACTCCAGCTGTCCCTCCAATGTCCAATGATGTGCCCATGGCAAACTGGACCAGAACTTGGGTCTCTTGGCTTCTAACTTAAATGCGTCAAGTCCATGCCCTTGCAGCCAGGACAGGCCCATGGTGGAGGCCCTCACCCGTCCTGGCATGAGCCTGGCTGGGGAGTGGGGAAGGACTGAGTTCTGTACCCTCCCACGGCCGGGGGCACACAGCTCCTGACCCCCTTTTCTCTCTCCCCACAGGGATCAGCAATAACCAGCCCAACCAGATGCACCTGAACTCGGCTGCTGCCCAGAGCCCCATGGGCATGAACCTGCCAGGCCAGCAGCCCCTGTCCCACGAGCCCCCGCCTACTATGTTGCCCTCCCCTACCCCTCTGGGGTCCAACATTCCATTGCACCCCAGTGCGCAGGGGACAGGAGGGCCCCCTCAAAACTCGATGATGCTGCCTCCGGGGGGCCCAGACTCCCTGAATGCCCCCTGCGGCCCTGTGCCCAGCTCCTCCCAGATGATGCCCTTCCCCCCTCGGCTGCAGCAGCCCCACGGTGCCATGGCCCCCAGTGGGGGTGGGGGCGGGGGGCCTGGCCTGCAGCAGCACTACCCTTCAGGCATGCCCCTGCCCCCAGAGGACCTGCCTAGCCAGCCGCCCGGCCCCATGGCCCCTCAGCAGCACCTGATGGGCAAAGGCATGGCTGGGCGCATGGGCGACGCCTACCCGCCGGGCGTGCTCCCTGGGGTGGCATCCGTGCTGAACGACCCCGAGCTGAGCGAGGTGATCCGGCCCACCCCGACGGGGATCCCTGAGTTCGACTTGTCGAGGATCATCCCCTCTGAGAAGCCAAGCAGCACCCTCCAGTACTTCCCCAAGAGCGAGAACCAGCCCCCCAAGGCCCAGCCCCCCAATCTGCATCTCATGAACCTGCAGAACATGATGGCGGAGCAGACCCCCTCACGGCCCCCCAACCTCCCGGGCCAGCAGGGCGTCCAGCGGGGGCTCAACATGTCCATGTGCCACCCCGGACAGATGTCCTTGCTGGGCAGGACAGGTGTGCCCCCACAGCAGGGCATGGTGCCCCACGGTCTGCACCAGGGGGTCATGTCGCCTCCACAAGGCCTCATGACCCAGCAGAATTTCATGCTGATGAAGCAACGGGGCGTGGGGGGAGAGGTCTACAGCCAGCCCCCCCACATGCTGTCCCCGCAGGGCTCCCTCATGGGCCCCCCGCCCCAGCAGAACCTCATGGTGTCCCACCCCCTGCGACAGCGCAGTGTGTCTCTGGACAGCCAGATGGGCTACCTCCCGGCGCCGGGCAGCATGGCCAATCTGCCCTTCTAGCAGTCCCTGCGCGGGCCGGAGCTGGGGCGCTACCGCAAATTCGATAACCTTAAAGTTTCTTCCCCTCCAGTGTTGGGATGGCCTGGGTCTAGGGGTGGGGTGGAGGGGGTGGGCGGGGCTTGTGTGGGGCGGGGCACTTGTGGAAACCAGATGTGCTGGCAGCTTAAGGGGAAGTGGCAGAGCCGGGTGGGGGGTTTTGGATTGGGGTTCCATTTCGGCCACCAGGACTGCCCCTCGCCCGTACCCCCCAGTCCTATGGAGCCTCTCCCTTCCCTCTTTCTCTGCACCCGCCCTCTTCAGCTGTGCTTTCCGAGTCCTGTGTCTCGAATCTGTTGGGGAGAGGGAAGGGGGAGAGGCCTCCCCAACTCTGTCCCTTTTCTTTCTGCCGCTGTCTCCTTGCCTGGAACTTCTCTCTCCTCTTGGTTTCTCTGCTCCCACCTGTTTTTCCTTCTGTCTTTTCCTGCCTCATTCCCTTTCCCTGCTGATGTGGCTGACCCCCCCCCCCCCACCCCGCAGGCGGCTGGCCCGGTGGGCAGGTGCCAGCCGCAGCTGTAAATAGAGCGCTGCGCTTTTGTGCCGGTTTGTGTGTGTGCTGTATTTCTGTGTTTTGATAGGAGTCACAAAAAAAGAAAAAAAGATAAAAGAAATCCTTCCTCTCCCCCCACCCCCCTTCTTCAAATTCTTGCCCCTTCCATTCTCCTGGACTCAGGACCATGCAGTCTGACACAGGTAGCCAGTGTCTGCCTTGTCTCTGGGTCTGTAAGGATACCATTCCGGTCCCTTCCCCTCCAGTGGTGAAATGACAGATACCCCGCACCTAAACTGAAGTCAGACCACCGAGGCTTCCTCCTGGAGAGCCCCATCCGGGCTGAGGCCTCCCAGAGCGGCAGTCTGTCTGCTGCCGCGTGATTCAGGAGAATGTGCGCATGGGCATGTGTGTTCGCCCCACGCAGGTGACACGGGGCCCTGGCTTCCCAGCTATGGGTGGCTGGTGTCCCCTGCTGCTACACCTTAGCCAGAACTTGAAGTCCTTCGTGCCCAGCCTGGGCTGAAGGAAACAAGGAAGGGGTGGGGGCTGTGTGGCCCACGTGGTCCTGGTCCCCTGTCGCGGGAGCCCTGGGCCAGGTAACCCCCCAGGCCCCGTCTCTGCCAGGAACTGCCACCTACTTCTTATCACCAAAGGCTGAAGGAAAAGAGTTTGGCTGGGTAGATCTCTCTCTCCAGCCTCCACCCTTTGAGCATGGATTAGAGAACGTGCTGGAGAAGCAGGGGGCGTCCTCTCGCCTCCTCTCTGCCTGCCCACCCCCCAGCCAGGTCCCCCTGCCCCGGGCTCAGGGCTCTGTGCCCGCCCAGGCGCAGCCACTGCCTCCCCCTCCGCCCCCTCCACCCCTGCTCTTTCCCAAAACTCCCCACCTGTCTCTGGTCAGAGCTGAAGCCATACAGACTCAGTGTTTTGCCCCCTTGGCCCCAGGAGTAAAACACTTCTCCTTTTCTCACTTCCTTTCCTGCCTAGTGAGGTGGCACGACAGTTCCCTGGCCTTCTGTGCCCCGCCTCCAGGGCCGGGGGCCATAGCTAGACAAGGTGTCTTGTGCCGTGGCCCGTCCCCAGCCTTCCTGATCTGCAGGGTCTGGTCTAGCATTGGCAGCTGTGATACAAAGGGAATTCACCCCACCTCTCCCAGTCTGGTGCTGTCCTCAGTCCACGTCGGCCAGGTCAAGCGCTTCCTCCGGGGCTGGCTGGCTGCAGGCTCCTGCCTCCAGCGCCTGCCCGGGCCCCCAGGGCCAGGGCCCTGGCATCTGTGTTTGGGGGCCACCTGCCTTCCATCTTGCCAGGCACTTTGCCCACCCTGCCTCAACCCGGGCCCTGTGCCCACGAACCCCCCCCACTGCTGACCCAAGACTCCCCAAACTGACTCTAAGTGTTTCCTGCCCAGAGGAGAGAGGGGTCAGACCGCACAGGGCCTAATGCCCTCCCCGTTCTCTTCTCCCATCTCCGCCACCAGACTAGCTTTCCAAGGTGAACTCCACAGGCCAGCCTACTTCCCTCCATCCATGGCCATACCCCCAGCCATTTTGTACCATTATATAAATATATATATAAATATAAATATATAAATACAATATGTGAAGACATCTTCTTGGTTTTTATTTTGAAACAATTTTTAGGCTTGTTTCGGGGGTCTCTGTGCTGCCTGTACTGTATTGACCTGTTTTATAGGTGCCTTTTTATTAAAAAGAGAAAATTAAAACTCCAGCTTCTTGTCTTTTTGCTTCTGTGTCTGGCTTCTCGACTGCCCAGCTTACTGTTGGATGCTGGGAGAGAGAAAGTTCCATGGTAAACATACAGCCGCTACCCCCCCCCCCCCCAAGTCACAAGCTCTGATTTCCACCATGGAGGCCTCCCAGGGAGCTTGGCCGGATGCCTTGAGTGGGACCAGGCAACGCAGACGTGCCCTCAGCAAGTGCAGGGGCCCGGACATCCCACCCTAGTGAGCCCAGAGGCTGCGGAGGAGGGGGGAGAGCCCTCTCTGGGCAGGCAGGCACGGAGAACCATCCTCTGGTTCCGTCTGAGTAGTATCCTCTCAGGGGCAGGGCCTGGCTTCCTGAGGCTCGGGGACTTCCCCCTGCCTAGATGAAGGGGATGCCTCGCGCCTCTTGCTGAGGCCCGGAGAGACAGGCAAGCTCTGGGTTTGGCCTGCAGGCAGGGGGCTGGATGTGATGACCACATTCAGTCTGTGATCCCTCTCGGGGTAGGGGGGTCTCCATCTCCGTTCTGACTCTCGGCGCAGTGCTCCCTTCTTGTGATGGGGATCCCTCTGCTGTGTAGCTTGCAGAAAGGGGGTGGGAAGAAACAGTTGGCCTCCTACCTTATCAGTGCTCACACCTACCAGGACCCTGGACCCGGCTGCCCTTAGCCCTCTCTACACCGGGCAGAGGAGACAGTGGGCTTTGGTTTTTACTGAGGAAGGAGAATCTTTTCTTATAGTGGCTTCTCTTGCTGGCTGGGCCTTATTTCTTCCGTGTGACATGGGCTGGCTGGTCTCTGAGGGCACCTGGAGTCTGCCTTCAGTCTGCAGACCTCCCAGAGCCCAGTGACGTGGGGCTGGCCCAGCGCCATTTTGGTCAGGGCCAGAAGCAGCTTCCGGGATTGAGTCGGTCTGAGTTTCCTGCTTGGTCAAGATGCTGCCGGGCTGGTGGCCTGGCAGAAAGTCTGTGTTTGTTAGTGACCGAGACATTAAGGCCACACTCTTTCGCCAGGTGGCCTTTCCTCAGCCTTGATCTCCATCCATTGCCCAGTGCTCGGCCTCCGGCTTCCTTCGGCAGGTGGGGCGAGAGGAGAGGTGGGTGGTGGTGCAGGTCGGTGGTCCATAAGCTGATGCGGTGCATTCTGTGAGGGGACCGACTCCCCCAGTGGGCCAGGGCAGAAGTAAAAGTTGTTTCTTGAGCTTCCAATGGTTGAGATGAAGCTAGGTGTGTGGGGTCATCCCAGCCCCAGGGGATACAGCTGGGCACAGGTATCCTTCACTTTTGTCTTTGGGCTGCCCGCCCCCCTGGCCTGCAGCCCAGGCCTGGGGCCAGAAGAAGAGATGGCAGGAATGACCTGGAAAGGGGTTGGTTCATCCAGCTGCCCCCGTGTGAGGACACTGGCCACAGCAAGCTCTTAGGATCCCAGGTCCTGTTGGAGGAGGCGTCAGGAACAGCGCATCCGCCAAGGAAAGCACAAACAAAGGGCCCCGGGACCTAGAAGGTGGTGAGGGAGGTAGCATTCTCTGACTCAGAGAGGCTGCTCTTGCGCCAACTAGGGAAGAACTGGCAAAGGGAGGCAGGGCCGGCACAGCCCAGCTTGGTCAGAAGGCGCGACAGGTCACTACGGAACTTCACCCCTGCGAACGTGTAGAGCATAGGATTGAGACAGCAGTGGGCCAGGCCCAGGAACTCGCTCATGGTGATGGCCACGGAGAGGTAGCCGTTCAGCTCACAGCCATTGCTCAAGGTCTTCAGCCTTGCCAAGGTGTCCAGGAAGATGACGATGTGGTAGGGTGACCAACAGAGGAAGAAGACACTCGTCACCAGGATGGCCACCCTGACTGCCTTCTGCCTCTGGGGGCGCCGCTGGGCCTGGCACAGCCTGTGCACCACTCCTACATAGCACCAGGCCATCACCAGCATGGGCAGCAGGAACCCTCCGATGTGGTAGAGGAAGCGGGAGGTGAACCAGGCGTTGGTTTCCGCTCGGTTCTCCTGAGAGAAGGTGCAGCGTGGCAGAGAGTCGTTGTGATGGGGTTGGCTCACTTTGGCGAAGATCATCTCTGGCAAGGCGAAGAAGAAGCCCGCCAGCCAGATGGTGGCACAGGTGATGTGGATGGAGAGGAGGCGGCGGTGGCGATAGGCATGGACGGCGTGGACGATGGCCAGGTAGCGGTCCACGGCGATGCAGGCCAGGAGCAGGCTGCTGCAGTAGAAGTTGATCTTGTGCAGCGCAATCACAATTTTGCAGAGGGAAGTGCCCAGGCGCCAGCCCACGGAGCCCTCGATCACGGCGAAAGGCAGGATGAAGACGAGGAGGAGGTCGGCCACGGCCAGGTGGAACAGGAAGGTCTCGGTGGAGCTGCGTGTCTGCCGGTGCCGCTCCAGGATCACCAGCACCAGGATGTTGCCCATCATACCCAGGAGGAAGATGAGGCCGTAGGCCACTGGCATGAACACGGCCTTGAAGGAGGTCAGGAGGGGCCCCTCCACTGTGGAGCAGACATGATTTTCCACCATGGGGCTCTCCGTGCTGTCGCTGTAGTTGCCTAGTTCCTTGTACTGCGAGAGCAAAGAGACAGCAGGGTGGGGAATGAGGACCCATCGTTCCCCTCCCAGGGGGACCCTGAGTCCCCTGTAGATTTCTCCTGTCCTCCCCACCCCCACGCTACTTTTGTTCCCGGATGCCCAATACAGCCCGCCAACCAGCCCGATCTGCCCTCGTGTGTCCATGAACAGATCACTTTGCCCTTTCCAGCAGAAGTTTTCTTTTTTTTTTTATGTTTTTTTTTTTTTTCTAGGAGAGAGAGAGACAGAGACAGCATGAGCAGGGGAGGGTCAGAGAGAGAGGGAGTCACAGACTCTGAAACAGGCTCCAGGCTCTGAGCTGGCAGTCAGCACAGAGCCCGACGCGGGGCTCGAACCCACGAACCGCGAGACCATGACCTAAGCGAAAGTCGGATGCTTAACCGACTAAGCCACCCAGGCGCCCCCCAGTAGAAGTTTTCGACTGTAAAAAGGACCCATTCTGGGGTGCCTGGGTGGCTCAGTCGGTTAAGCGGCCATGATCTTGCGGTTGGTGAGTTCGAGCCCCGTGTCGGGCTCTGGGCTACCAGCTCAGAGCCTGGAGCTGCTTCAGATTCTGTGCCTCCCTCTCTCTCTGCCCCACTCCCCCCTCATGCTCTGCCTCATTCTCTCAAAAAAAAAATTAATAAAAGGTTTAAAAAAAAAGGACTCATTCCTTACAGGGTAGCGACGAAGATGGGAGGAGACGCATGGTGTATACGGCAGGGAGAGGCCTCACAAACGCTGAAGGGCTGTGCACCTGTTAGTCACTTTGTGTTTAAGTGCCCTCAGATATGGAGGGCTGCCGGCTCATGGCTTGGAACCAGAACTTCAGTTTTGGAAACGGGTCTGGTTGGGGCAAGGAGACGTCTGTTCCAATTCCCAGCAGGGCAGTGGGCACTAAAACCTAGGACCCAGCTGAGGGGGTAGCTGCTGGTGCGGCCTGCTGGCTTCCTCTTGTCTCCCTGCTCCTGAATGTCTTCATTATAACAGATTGTAGTGCTAGCCTCCTGTTTTGTTTAATCCGCACAAGCTCGGGTATGTGATATTACTGTCTTTTTTCTAATGTTTATTTATTTTTGAAAGAGAGAGACGGACAGAGTGTGAGCAGGGGAGGGGCAGAGAGAGAGGGAGACAGAATCCGAAGCAGGCTCCAGGCTCTGAGCTGTCAGCACAGAGCCCGACGCGGGGTTCGAACTCATAAACTGCGATATCATGACCTGAGCTGAAGTCAGACGCTTAACCGACTGAGCCGCCCAGGCGGCCCTATGAGATTCCTATCTTTGCGTTTGAACCCACGTTGATCTCCCTCCAGAGCGGATTCTTCCACCTCTACACAGCGCTGCCTGGCCTTCCTTCCCCGCCACTTCCCATCACAAACGAGCTTCCTCCTCTGCTTCCTTCTCTGCTCAGAAGGGAGGAAGGGGTGGTGCTGTTCCAAGAGAGGGTGATGTGCCCACTTGGTCTCTGAAAGCTCCTCCTCCTCCCCCACCTCCCCGTCCTTCTCCCCCCCACCTCCCTGCCTTCTCCTCCTCCCTCCTCCTCCCTGCCCCTCCCCACCAGCGCTCAGGTTGTTTACCCAGCTAACCACAAAGGAAGACACGGTGTCTGTTTTCATACCTTTCACTGGCAGCTGTCCCCCCCCCACCCCGTGCACCTGCTTCTCCTCACTTCCCAGGCCTGTTCTCCACCCCCCCCACCAGACCCCTCCCCATGGTTTCAAAAGCAATTATAACCAACGTATGTGGGTTGAAAAAGACACGTCTATAAATGATGAGCCCCAGGGAGGGAGAAGACAGGAAAGGGCACTCTGCACAGAAGCCCTAGCTCGTCTCACGCTGCCCTTCTTCCAGGAGCGTGAGGGTCTTGCACAAGCAGGAGATCGTTGCACTGCCTCCCAGAGGCCCCCGTTGTGGCTCACACACTCACTCTCAGTGGGCAGACCCGGTTCCCCAGCCTGTGTCTTTTCTCCTGGACCCTGGGGACAGTGGGTCGGGGGGAAGGGAGTGGGGGGGTACGTTGGAGCGATGGCAGAGACTTCTGCCTCCCCCCACCCCAGCATCCCTCCGTCACAGCCTCAGTCCCGCCTTTCTTCACCCTACTGCCCAGGACTACTGTGTCTCCGCGGTCCCATTCCAGCAACATCTCCACCCTTGTCCATCTGCTAAACACAGAGGGATTTTTCCAACCCGCAGATCCCATCAGTGTCCTGCTTAAAGTCCTTCATTGGTCCCCCGTTACCTGTAAGCAGGGGTTTTCTTTTCGTCTTCTGCCCGCCCCCCCCCCCATGCCAGTTTCACATTTAATAGCAAAGCCAATTATAAGGAGAAGTCACGTTTGTGATACAGTTACTCAATAGAAGATCGGCGTAAGCCGGTCTCCGTGCATTCACACAGCAGAAGGCGATGTAGTTCTCAAAAAGAAATGAGGTTAACGGCGTGTTCTCGTAGGGAAAGGTGTTTGACACACACTGTCACAGTTCAGAACCCACCGCAGGGCACTCCGCACAGCGTGATCCCATCCAGGGACTGTCCTTGCAGGGCTTCCTGGGGCTGGAGGAGGGGAGGGAGGGGGAGGCTCAGCTCCTCTCCTTGCCTTCAAACCAGACTTCTCCACTCTTGTCTCATATGGTGAGGGCTTGACATGCCTACAAAATGTATATGCCTCTGACTTTTCAAACCTCATCTTCTATTTTATCCCTTCAGGCACCCTGTTTTCCAGGTTCATCATTCCACTGGCCGCCCGCCCCCAACACATTGCTGTCTCCAAAACTTTGCTCCAACTCTGCCTTTTGGGGGGTGGCCCTTTCTCCCCACAGTTGCCTGTCTAATTAATGCCTTTGCTTCCTCCAAGGTCCCACTCAGCCCCACCTTCCTACTTACCTCCTTCCTAGCTTAGAACTACATTCTCTTCTTACATTCTCTGTACCTTTTTTTTTTAAAAATGTTTACTTTTATTTATTTTGAGGGGGAGGAGGAGCAGAGAGAGAGAAAGAGAGAGAGAGAGAGAGAGAATCTCAAGCAGGCTCTGCAATGTCAGCACAGAGCCTGCCATGGGGCTTGATCCCATGATCCCACGATCCTGCTGTGAGATCATGACCTGAGCCAAATCAAGAGTCGGACGCTTGGCCGACTGAGCCACCCAGGTGCCCCTCTCTGCTTTGACTGCCGCACCCAGCAAGGGCAGGAGCATTTCCTCACTAGATGGGGAGGTCCTGAAGGCATGTCCCCCTTACAAGGCCGTGTGTTTCACACATGACAGGCATGCAACATGTGTGTGGTGAACCGTGTGTGATGGCGGGGGGCCCTTGTATTCCAAGATTTTAGGCAAGTTCTTCTCTGTGCCTTTGCGGAGGCCCAGACACTTCTTTTCATGCTTCCTCAGTCCCTGCCTCCTCCCAGTACCCTTCACAGCCTAGAGCCCGTCTTGGGTTCCATCTCCATATTGGGAGCTATTTCCAATATGGTCATTGAATACAACCATTTGACTCCTACTGGAACTCAACGGGAGGTAAGTGGGGAAACAGTGAGGTGAGGAGTCTTCATGCAGAGCAAAGCAATTCAGACCAGAAGTGAAGAGATGCGGGGCCCGGGGCCGTCAGTGGGGCTGGGCTCCATCCACCGTTGGCGGGAGCCGGGCCGTCTCACTGCCCTGTGGGTACAACCAGCCTACCTGACCCGGGAGGCCCTTTATGAGAACTCAGGTCCTTACCCTCTAAAGCATCCAGACTGACTGGCTTATTGCTTATTTGACGTCAGCACTGTGGGCTGTGTCCCCAGGACCCCAGAACCCCCATCTGCTGAGAGCCTGGGTTTAGAGGAGGGTTGAGGGGAACTACCTCTTCATCCTTGCCAAGAGGTATTTGTTTGGAAAAGTGCTCAGGCAGGAAGGGCAACGTGGGAGGAGGGGTTTGAGGGGTGCTTTGAGTTGTTAGTGCATCTCGGCAGGAGGTGTCAAACAGACATTTTTGGGGCTCAGAAGTGGCACATGTGAAAGCCACTTCCCACACCTAGGGGATCGATCAGTCACCCCAGCCCTCCCCAAACCATGGAGAGAGGTACTGAGGCGAGGTTGTCTCTGGCCTGGTGGGAAGTTGAGGAACCATGAACCCTAAATACCTTGGGGAGTGGGGTGCAAAAGGGACCCCTCAAAGACTCACACCCTGAGGGGGCTCAGCGCCGGCAGTCTGGCCCAGGGCTTCCTCATTCTTTGACATCACAAGCTGCAGGTACCCAGGGCCCCCATGCACACACGTACTCTGACAGCAGCCTGCACGCCGTATAGACATAGCCACGTGGCCAGGCCAGGCCACGACAGCATGTGGCCAAGGCAGGTACCCCGCAAATAGTCCACACAGAAGCCAAGGGCTCATGCCCCAGAGGAAGCAAAGAGACATTGTGAGCAGGATAGAGCTGAGCACTGAGCCAGGAATCTAAGTAGAAATTTCTTGGAGCACTGCGGATAGGCCAGGAGGAGCTAGAACATTCTGTGTTCTGGTGTTGAGAGGATGGACAGGGCAGGGGGTGTGGGCGGGGCAGGTGCCTCAGGGCTCTGCACCGGCCAGGCCAGCGGCCAGGCCAGCGTGAGGATCGGCAAACATTTGCTGATTGGATGCTGTGTGAGCAGGTAGGGCAGGGGCTGGCTGGGGCCCTCCTCCGGGGTCTGTCCTGGACCTTCTCCCCTTTGACACTCTCCACGCTCTTAGATGACATGGCTGGGGGACCCTTCCAGACAACGCAGACTCCGCTACCTGGAACGAGGGGCCCAAGCTGGCCAGATGGAATCGACAGTGGAAAACATAGAGATCAAGCCTCGGGTTTAAGATTTCAGCTGTCTGGGGGCAAGTGAGGGACGGCCTGGCTTACCGACAGTTGATGAGAAAAAGGCCTGAGAGTCTGTTGATTGCTGGCCTAAGATGAGTCAACAGGGTGACGTGGCTGCCAGAAAGGCTCCTGTCACCTTCCTTAGGTGAACAGAAACCCATAGGAGGGCAGCTG